TTCCTTGTTTTCATTTTTTTAATATTGTGTCTCTTGTAAATAGCATACGGTTAGATTTAAAAACTACCTCAGTTGGAGAGTCTTTGCCATTAAAAAGAGGATTTTATGATCATTAATATGCTAACGTTTGACCCATTTTGATTTCCCCACATTTGCTACTCTGAGCTAGTTTTCTTTTTCCTCATTTTCTGTTAAAAGTTTTACATCCTATTTTATAAGTTTTCAATGAACACTTTCTACAAACATTGTAAATTTGGGTTTCTCTTTTGGCATCTTGAATTTTAACTGTATCTTTGACTTCCCCCATCCTTTTTTCTCTTTTAAGACTTAACTTTTAGGGGCGCCTGGGTGGCTCAGTCAGTTAAGCGTCCGACTTCAGCCAGGTCACGATCTCGCGGTCCATGAGTTCGAGCCCCGCGTCAGGCTCTGGGCTGATGGCTCAGAGCCTGGAGCCTGTTTCCCATTCTGTGTCTCCCTCTCTCTCTGCCCCTCCCCCGTTCATGCTCTGTCTCTCTCTGTCCCAAAAATAAATAAACGTTGAAAGAAAAAAAAAAAGACTTAACTTTTAGTAGCGCCTGTGCTTCCCCATTCCTTTATCTCACCTCCAAAAAGTTATCTGGATTTCTAGTTCCTGGTCGCTATTAATTTATATATAAATTATTACATATAGGATAATGTTAATTATTATTTTATTCCACTGTTATTTTAGAATCCTTTATTAATGGCTGTAAGTTTGCATTGCTTATTACTGTTGTTTGTATGCAAAATCTTCCCTGTTCTTAATTTTTAAAACTATTTTTAATGTTTATTTTTGAGAGAAAGAGAGAGAGTGCAAGCGGGGAAGGGCCAGAGACAGAGGGAGACACAGAATCTGAAGCAGGCTCCAGGCTCTGAGCTGTCAGCATAGAGCCCGGCACAGATGCTTAACCATCTGAGCCACCCAGGCACCCATCCCTGTTCTTAATTTTTAAAAAATTTTGAATTCATTTTAATTTGACTGAAGTACTTCCTTAGGTAATCTTTTCATAAAAATGAACATGGGTGACATACTTCTTAACTTGTTACATGTTCAGATGTCTTACTCATACTCTTATACAGGAACTCTGTAACATTGCTCTTTGGAAGCACTGAGTATTGCAGAGGGAAAATCCAATGCCAGTCTTTCAGGTCTGTCCTTTCTTCCTTTCCCCCCCCCCCCCCATGTTGTGTGTGTCTGAAAGTCTATAGAATTCCTTTTTTTATATAGTATTTTTTTAAGTTTTTTTTAAATTTATTTTGAGAGAGAAAGAGTAAGTGGGGGAGAGGTAGAGAGAGACACACTCCCAAACAGGCTCCACACTGTCAGTGCAAAGCCTGATGCAGGGCTCAAACTCACTAACCCTGACATCATGACCTGAGCAGAAATCAAGAGTCAGACACTTAACCAACTGAGCCACCCACGTGCCCCTATAGGATTTCTTTTTATCCTTGGAATTTACAAATTTACTGGATTAACTTTCTATGTATGGAATCTTCTGCAATAACCCTTCACTGTATTTGGTGAACATTTTTACACTAAAGATTCAAATCTTTTGAACTCAGTGACATTTTCTTCTATTTCTTTGATTAGTAATTCTCCACTCTCTTGTTTCATTCTCATCTCCTAGAAGGATTATATCTTTCTTTGCTCTCATAATTTCCATTGTTGTCCATTGTGCTCTATGTCCTGGAGGAATTTCTTGACTTTTCTCTTTTCTTTCAGCACCGATTACATTATTTTTATTGCCTCTATTGAGATCTTTGGTACTGGCAACCATGTTTTATTTCCAAGAACTTCTTTTTTGTATGCCTCTTTCATTGTTCCTTTTACAGTTTTATCAATGCAATTTACCCTTGACTTTTATTAAAAATATGAATAAGTGGTGTCTGAAATGATCTCTTATATCAACTCCTTTATAATCAGTCATTCTGAGGGTGTGGCTCTGGTATAGTTCTCCACATCCTTCAATTCATGCCTCACCCCAGGCCCTAATAACTGCTCCACAGCCCCTCCTTTCTCCTGGCCCCTGCTCCTCTAAAAGAGAAACTAATTCAGTTTTTTTACAAAATCTGGACACCAACTACAGTGCAGCTGCAACTCCCTGAGGGCTCAGCACAGCCGCCAGCCAAGGTGTTCTACAGTCTAGTAGAACTGAAGACTACTAAAACTTATGCTTAGTAACCTTTGACGGGCATTTCTAAATAGGAATTACACAAATGCACTGAGCAGGCCTAAGGTCAACATAATACATATATAGAGTCCCTAAATGTATGAATTCTGCAACGTTGCTTTCACAAATGTTTCTTTCCTTGTATAAGTGGATTCACATATAATGGATTACTTCTTTAAAATATCTTTTCTAGGGGCACCTGGGCGGCTCAGTTGGTTAAGTGTCTGACTCTTGACTTTGGCTCAGGTCATGCATGGTCTCTTGGTTCGTGAAATCAAGGACCCTCATGGGGCTCTGCACTGACAGCCCTGGAGCCTGCTTACGATTCTCTGTCTCCCTCTCGCTCTCTGCCCCTCCTCCACTCTCACTCTCAAAATAAGTAAATAAACTTAAAAAAATAAAAGAAAATATCTTTAACTAAAAAAAGAACATTTAGCCGGATCTTTCTTTACTTAGTCACACATGTATGTAATTTAAGAAGTCACTTGGTTCCTTATCGCTGTAATCAAAAAACAACAATCTCCTGTTCCCTCCCCAGAGGCAGTTCTTTTGGCTGAATCTTTTGGCATTTATCTCTATATCTCTAAATAACATGGTTTTCTTGCTACTTCTTGATTTTTTTCAGTTTTAGGCGTTATCTATTGACATCCACAGTGGTTATTTTTCCTGCCTCCACTACCTCATCCCCACCACACACATGGTCGCATACACGTATATGCCCACGGTCTCTCTCTCTCTTTCTCACACACACACACTTCTCTTTCTTCCATCATCCTCTCAATGCACCATAATTTTAGTTGGATCAATATTCTGTTTGCCTAGTTATGTCTTTGTAAATGCTCTTCGCCTTTGAGCCATAGCATACTGGGATGATGCTTCCTTCCCTGCATAACATTTTGTTTTCTTCCGGAGTTAATAACTCTGGCGTCTTAACTATTACTTTTTGAAGTTTTCTTCTTTTCTGCCATATTTTCTTCAAAAAATCACCTTCTGTTTGTATTTGAGCAAGTTGGTTGAAGTGCTTTTCTCAAATGTCCGTGATCCCTGACTGCTCGCTCCTGTGTAAGATGGCGGAGTGGAAGCTGATCAGAAGTTCCGCTGGACGTGGGCGGGGCTTGTTGACGGGGCTTCTCTACTTGTCATCGGGCTTGTCTCTTTCAGTGCCTGTCTCAGGCTGATCAGATTCTAGAGAACACTCTTTTAAATTCTCCTACTTAGAGGGTGTAAGTTGGGCCACCAGCATTTACCCTCTACCTAGCTGGGTTGCTTCCTGGCTTTTTCTCTACTGCTAGCTCCCATTATTTTTGTGCTCGTGGCTTAAAAATATGCCTTTGCTTTATTTTAGTAGAATTTGGGAAGGGAGCAAAATGTTTATGTTCATCCGTCTTCAACCGAAAGCCTCATTTTTCTCTACTAAATCATTTACTCTACTTTTTATTCTGTGACTTATATCTTAGCCATTCATCTCGTTCATGGAATCTTATCAAATCCTTCCTAAAAATCTGCTGCATGATCTGCCGATTTTTTAAATCTGCCATGAAAGTCGTATTTTCAAAGAACCAAGACAGATGGATATTAAAGTATAGCTTCTCACGTCTAATTCAGAAAAACCCTTTAAAGCAGTACTCTATGTGTGCATCTTTTTTAACCTTTAAAGTGTTCTTTCCCTCTGAGATATATTAATTCCTAAACACAACCGTACTTCCCAGTTTCTTAGTTTAATACAGTTTTAATTATAATTTGTAAAAAAAAATTCTACTATAAGTCAATATTTTGGTAGTTTAATAAATTGTAGTAAAGTAGTCTTTTTGCACATTGAAAATTCTTTTTAATTTGATTGATTCTCTTGCCTTCTGAATGGCCCAGACTCTACCCCCATTATTCTCCCTCCACCCTTTATCCCCAGCCACACATAATCTTTTCCAGAGGAATCAAATTTGACAATTTCTAGTTTCTAGTTTATCTGCAGAAGAAGCAAAGTGAAGTAGACCTGGGGTAAATCCCAATATTATTTCATATTAACACACAGAACCATGGCATCATTCATAATAAGCTACACATGCATTAGTTTGGATTCTGTAAGCCAATCTCTAGGACAATTAAAATTCCCTCTTGCTAAAAGGTCTATCTGGGGAAAGACTGCAGTGTTAGTATGTGTGAGGATAGTCATTTAATCCCTTTTCTATTTAAAACTAGAATAGAATAGTCATTATACAAAAAGTTTCAAGAAAAAATTTATCAGTAATACAGGTAATACAATAGTCATTGAAACTAGAATGAATAGTCATTATATAAAAAGTTTCAAGAAAAAATTTATCTGTAATACATGTGTTTAGAAGATCCTCCACTCTTTTTAGAATGTAAAAATATGAGACTTAAAGTTTGTATATACCTCGAATTCTGATGAAACATTGATAGGGAGTTGGAAGCTGTCAACATTGCACATTTTATTTCTCTGAATGTCTTTGATGAGTATGATGGAGGCCTTTAAAAGTACTTCTAAGCATGCTTTTTAGGAATAGTGGGATTTATACCTCCTCTACATATCAACATTAAGCTTATTGCAGATGAGGGAGAAGAATGGACCGAATATGAGCCACCATCTCAAATGTGCAGTAAAAATAGGCATTGTAACACTGCTAAGTCAGCACACGCTAAGGATGACGGTAAATAGCATTTTTTGGACAACAAGAAAAGTGCTTGAGAAGAGCTATTTTTAGCTATAATTTAGTAACTAATTTTGAACAAGGGCAACTGTGAAATTCTGATCTAGGGGTCATAAAGTAGAAGCCTTTCACTTTACTGTTTTAGGAGGAACGATCGAGTGAAGAGCAGGCAGACATCTCAGACATGTCTATGGAAGTGGATTCTGGGACTTCTGGGAGCTCTCCCATTCCATACTATTTAAGTTTCTGGTGTGGTGCGGTATTTGACGTGCAGAATAAGAATAGGTCTGTGAGCCACCACAGAAAAGTTAAATTATACCGGTATCACCAAATATATAGCAATATAAGTAAGACAAATAATACATTACTACATTTTAGAATGTGTTTCATTACAATATTTTGGAAAAGTTAAGACCCAGTATGATTGCTCATATTGCTCGTCAACCTTTTGAAAACGCATTTCCTTAGACTATTCCGTAGTCTCCTTTTTCTCTTCTGTCTATGCTTCCCTTCCTCATTCCCTCCCCTTCTTCCATGATAACTTCCATATTTATTTTTTAAGCCTGCCCTTCTCTCTCTCAAGCTGAAGATCCATTTCTATTCTGCTATCTATGTCCCAAAATGAACTCACTTTTTTTTTTAATGTTTATTTACTACTGAGAGAAAGAGAGAGAGAGACAGAGTACAAGTAGAGGAGGGAAAGAGAGAGGGAGACACAGAAGCAGAAGCAGGCTCCAGGCTCTGAGCTGTCAGCACAGAGCCCGATGCGGGGCTCGAACTCACGAGCTGTGAGATCATGACCTGAGCCGAAGTCAGACACTTAATCAACCAAGCCACCCAGGTGCCCGAACTCACTTTTTTTTTTGTGGACTTGTTTATCCGTTTTTATTTTCCAGTTTGATGATGGGTAGGCTGACGCCGCATCCCAGTTTGCCCAGAATAATCACTGCTTTATACCTATTGTCCTGGCATAATTATCATTAGTGCCCCTTTCACTTTCAGAATTGTCCTAGTTTGCATAATTGATCATATGATCACCATGTAGCAGGATTCTCACACAGAGAGTCATGACACCGAGGCTTTTCTTTCCAGGAAGCAACTTTATTCCTGCTGGCACCCCTCCATTGGGTTCGTACCCAAAGAACTGAGCCCTGAATGCCACATGACCAAATTTTTTATATACTTTTTACTTCTTCGTCTCCCATATATGGTAACACCACTGATTAAGTGGTCCCATGTTACAAGGTCATAGGGATGTTGTCACGTATGTGTATAGCCAGGTTGCCTTGAGTTTGTTTTTTTTTTTTCTTTCCTTAGGGTGGGGACCCTACCACAACCACAGCCATCTGATAAAGGTCTGCTCTTGTAAGAACCAGCATGTAAGCCTATATGTGAAAGGACTTTGGAGTAACATACATGTCCATGGAGACTGGGTGAATTGTATCTGATGGACATGTGTGTTACTCCAGCTCTTTTTACTCTGCATGCCTCTCCACGTTCCCTTCCCCTGTCCCCTCCAACACACCGGCCACTACTACCTCCATTTATATCATCAGCTTTCTATTTTGCTTTCTTCATCTTTAAATTTGACATCCTGATATTTTGACTCTAGGCTCCTCAGACTGTTTTGTCACCCTGCAAGTCTCAGTGTGCCCCCTTCCTACTGGCTTAAGACTTCTGTCCTCTGGGCACCTAGGTGGCTCAGTCGGGTAAGCATCTGACCTCAGCTCAGGTCATGATTTCACAGTTCATGCGTTTGAGCCCGGCATTGGGGCTCTCCACTCTCAGTGCAGAGCCCGCTTCGAATCCTGTCTCCCTCTCTCTGCCCCTCCCCCACTCTCTCCTTTTTTCTCTCTCTCTCAGAAATAAATGAACATTAAAAACAACAACAACAAAAAGACTTCTGTTCTGACCCCAGAATCCTTCTCTCGTGAATTGCTCCCAAGGATAAACCCGACAGTAAGGGTCAGGGTTTGTATGTCTCAAGTAGTGTATCAGTTACAATCCACCCAGTCTCCAAAGCTAGAAGACTTGGAGTACTTTTTTTCTTTTTTAGTGCCTCATTCAACTTTTCTAAAATAGGAATAATAAGTCCTACTTTATGGGATGTTGTAAGGATCCGTGAGAGCAAGAACAGGAAAGCAATTAGCATAGCATCAGTCAGCATTTGACTAAAGGAAGAAATGAAAATATAAATAATGTTAGTGCTCAGCTCTGTGAAGAAGGCTAAACTAAGCCTTTTGTATTTTATTTTAAAGTTCTCTAGATTTAGGAGCAAATATTGATGCTGCTGAGACAGCTCAACTGCTCTTAATTATCTCTGAAAAACTGAAGAAAGGAAGACATCCTGGAAGATGAGACAATTGAATTTCAAAAGAGAATATTAAATTTGACAGAAAGCTGGGTTTAGCGTAAGCCTGAGTGTGACTGGATCTTTGGTAGTACTCTGGAAGGAGTCGTGGGTGGCCTGCGAGCATCCGGAAGAAGCGGGGGTCACCAGGACTCCGCACGGACACGCCCTGACCGCTGCAGACTAGGTCAGCCTTGGCTCACAGGGCTCATATGCTAGTGCGTCTGCAAGCATATTGATAGAATTTTATTGGGACTTTGCCATGATATTTTACAGGGCTTTTCATGACATTTTTATGGGGAGAGGGAGAAAAAAATTGTAAGGTTAATTAAGTGGGTTAGAAACTGATTATAAGAAAAGAAATAATCAACGGATCCCTGTCACCCTGAAGGACTTCAGAATGTAGTAGAATGCCATAGAGCTCTGTCCTCCATCCCGTCTTTCATGATATTTTACAGTCACTTGTATGAAAAAAACATTTATATGTAAAACAAGTAATGCTTCTCAAATCCGCAGCTGACACAAAACAGGGAGGTAAAGTGAATATATTTTCTGTCAGAAACAGGATCCCGTAAGCCCTTTTACGAAGGCTTCTGTGGTAACCCATCCTGGCCAAATCTGTATTCAGTACCCCTCCTTTCTAGTCCCAGAAGAGCTCCATGTATTCATCAGTCTCTTATTGTGCCTGTCTTGTAAGTATCTCTGCACAGGCAGTTGGTCTCGTGTCTCTGTCTTCCCAGCTCCTCGCACAGTGGGCAGCAGTCGCTGAATGAATGTTTGCTTCATTAAAGAACCAGGGCTAGGGGTGCCTGGGTGGCTTAGTGAGTTGAGCGATTCTTGATTTCAGCTCAGGTCATGATCCCAGCCAGGGTTGTGGGATCGAGCCCCGTGCCAGTCTCTGCACTGAGCATGTACCCTGCTTAAGATTTTCTCTCTCCCTCAGCCCCTCTCCTCTGCTCGCATGCATGTGCGCTTTCTCTCTACCTCCCTCTCTCTCTTTCAGTTAAAAAAAAAAAAGGACCAGTGATAGCAATCTACATTGAGAGGCTGAAACTCTCACACTGAAATTTAATAAGGATACATATAAAGCCCTGCTCTTGGAGCACCCCCCAAAAATGAAACAAGCACAAGATAGTGGCTTTATTTTTAGCATGCATGAAAAAAGATGTTTGGGCAAAAACAAAAACAAACAAACAAGCTCACCTTGACATGGTATAATATCACTGCTTTGCCCTTCCCCCTCCCAGATTCAAAGCTAAGGTGATCCTCATCTGCTTGAATAAAAGTATAGATAGCACCTAAAACAAAGGATGTGAGAGTCCCCCTCTAAACTGATTAGACCATACCTGGGGGATTAAGTTAATGTTCTGAACAGTATATTTCAAGGAGGAAATCAACACAGGAACTTGTTCAGTGGAGAGCCATCAGGATTGTGAAGGAGAGCCACCAAATTATGAAAATCTTACCATAGTCATTCACTTTTTCATTTGTTCAACAAATGTATGTTAAGTGTCTAGTATTTGCTAGGCAGTACACTAGGTAGTGAGTGGTGGAAAAAAAAAGAAATCTCTATGAGAAATTGAAGGAAATAAAGATACTTGTGGAAATAAACAAAGACACCCAAATGAGAACAAATGAAGCCTACTTATTGAAAGCTTGATATAGCAGAGGCGTCAGCAGCCATCACTTGCATCTGGCAGTCTCGAAGGCGAGGTGGGAAAGCTTCACGGTGAACAAAAGAGAAGGCTTCACGTATGCTGTCTTGGATGGGGGCTGTTGGCACAGGGAAACTGGAGGCAGGATTAGTAGAAGCGGGGCATCCTATGTGATTGATTTGAGGAGCGTGTTTGGTTTTCTCTCGTTGGTCCTGAGTTGGAAGTAGGGGAAAAAGTAAGGCAGCTCTCAGTCATTGACCACATCCTGACAATTCTAGGAGTACTGCTGTAGAGGTTGTGGGTGAGAGTCTGTTAACGTAGGTTCCAGCCATTCTCTGTCTGAATGTTCAGTATCTACTCTTGAACGCTGAGAAAACTTGGCAGAAGCCAGAGGTACACTGATAGCTGTATTTGACATATTGATAACTGTATTAAGTACTCTTAGTCTACTGTGTTGAAAAGGCATTTGTTGTGCATGGTCCCAGTGGATCAAATTAGATAAGTGGATGAAAAAGCTCTTCAGTATAAGAAAGAACTTTAAGAAACTCATCGCTGTCTAGATGCAATCTCAGACAGTGGTTTCCTGGTAAAGGAAGCATTCAGACCTAGGCTGGATGGCCTGTTGGCAGTGATATTGTGAAACAGATCACAAACCCTGGTGTGCGCCAGAATCACTTGATATCTTTGTTAGTGATGCAGAATCTTGGACTCTGTTCTAAACCTCCTGAATCTGACCAGTAGGGCATCATAGATGATGCTAGTAAGACTGTGAAAGGTATACAAACACTGGTTGGACAAGATGACTTGTAAAACTCCCTTCACCTTGAGTCTAATATCCTCATTTTTGCACAGCGTAGTCATAATCAGGAAAGAAACCATTCACTCATTTATTTAATAGTACTGATGTCTCTACTTTCGGCCTGTATTTCAATTCCGTCCACGTGGTGCAGTCCTACCTGTCAAGGAGATAGTGAAGAGAAGAGCTCACTGGTTCATTTTTCAAAAATTTATTGAGTATCTGCTATATGCTGGAGTGCTGTGCTGAGCTCCAGGAAGATGGTGATGAGAAGGGCTGATACAGTCCTTTTGCGTTCAGAGCTCACGATAGCAGAAAAAAACAATGTGTTTACAATAAAGGGTGATACATGTTGTTATGAAAAGAAAACGGTGTGAAAACTATTCTTTTCGTTCTGTTGTTTTTCCCCCACATCATAACTCCAATTAAAATTCCATCAACTTATTTATAGAGGAATTAGTACTTCCTTTCCTCAGGTTTGTTTTAGGTTTTAAGTAAAAATGGGAAAGGCTTTGGGCTTTCGTCCAGGAATGCCAGAAGACTGTAGAATTGCACTTTGTACTTAAAAGCTCTCTGATGACAGAACTGGTGAGTCTGCTGTTGAATAAACCAATCACAGGAATATCCCATGTTCAGGCTGACTGGGCATTTTAGAAAGTGACTCTGGAAATTCTGAGTTCTTTGGGTTCTAATACCTGTTTCTGACCCTAATGCAATGGAACTAATTTATGCTGTATGTTTCAAGCAAGTTCTTATTCAGTGCATCATGTCTTTTGCTGTGTGGTGCGCAGAAGGGAGCTTACGATGGGAGACAGCTGCCTAGGAGCTAGATCTGGCTCCTCTACTAATTGATGTGTGGCCTTGACCTCTCCGGGCCTGAGGTTTTTCAAAATGCTAAATGATCCTTAATCACCTCTGAAATTCTGACCTGGTGAAACCGAATGGAGAAAATATTATTCTTCACCTGGCTTTCCCTCCTGCCTTCCTCACGCCTACACAAATGTAGTAGAGGCCCCATCACCACCATTGAATGGATCCTGAAATAACTTGCTTTCTAATCTGGACATTTGTGTGTTCCTTAGGCTGAAACCTGAGGCTTGTCCAGTCTGACTAACTGGACTTATGCCAGGTCCCTGTGGAATGCGTCAGCTTCTTTGAAGGAGAACCCTACCTTAGAAACACAATAGGCATCTCCATAAATCTAGCTCTCACCAGCAGTTTTGTTTCAAATATAAATAGACCCTCTAAGACCCAAGATATTGCCCCGCATCTGACTAATAATATCACCATTATCTAAAGACTTACATTACTCTGCCCACACCTGCCTGATCAGATTCCTTCCCAAGGGATACCAGCCAGATCACGCCAAGTTCCCCTCCTGGAGGAGTAACTCTGTAGCTCAGTTAGTATCCTTGAATCTGGTCCTACCTAGCCTGGGGTTGCCCTTCTAATCCTTGATAGGCACGACTGAAGTCCCACTTTGCCTGCATCAAATTTACTCAAGTTATGATAGACATAGGTACATGTGTATTTACATGTAAGAGCACTGAGCCATTTTTCATAATTAGAATTTGCCATCGAATCAGCCCACTCTAAAAATTTTATTTAATTTTATTTTTTTAGCTAACTTTCTTTCTTTTTTTTTTTTTTTAATTTTTTTTTCAACGTTTTTTATTTATTTTTGGGACAGAGAGAGACAGAGCATGAACGGGGGAGGGGCAGAGTGAGAGGGAGACACAGAATCGGAAACAGGCTCCAGGCTCCGAGCCATCAGCCCAGAGCTGGATGCGGGGCTCGAACTCATGGACCGCGAGATCGTGACCTGGCTGAAGTCGGACGCTGAACCGACTGCGCCACCCAGGCGCCCCTTAGCTAACTTTCTTTATTGCGACCTTGTTTCTGACAGAATCCGCATGATGTGTTTCCGCTTTAGGACTCCCTTGTCAATGTCAAAACTTTTGGCTCTGGGAGACCCATACACTACCACCTACACTAAGAAGAAAATACAAGCAGTCACTTTAGCAATGTATTGCATTATATTATGACAGCACCTATACTTTAGAAAATGTCATTTTAAAAAATGTGCTGTATATTCACTGAAATTAGCTTTCAGTTTTAATATAAAATTTACCCCCAGCTTTCAGACTTCTTCCTGTTTAAATAATTGAACAATTTGAAGAAATAATTGATCAAGCTGTTCAGAGCAATGGAATAATTTTTCCCGTCCTCACATTTCACTCTTTTAAAATGTGCTTTACTTTTTGACAATTGCCAGAGCGTCTCCTTGTGAGGCCGAACTTCAGGAATTAATGGAACAAATTGACATCATGGTAAGCAACAAAAAATTGGACTGGGAAAGGAAAATGCGGGCTTTGGAGACACGATTAGATCTTCGGGATCAAGAGTTGGCAAATGCACAAACTTGTTTGGATCAGAAAGGTCAAGAGGTACTGAATATATGTGTTAATAACATGTTAATTCCTCAAACTGTTATAAATAATATTTATTCCCTCAGAATATGTTTTTCATTATGTATCCTTTTTATCGGGCATCAGCAGTAGCATTTATTGCTAACAATTCTGTCATAGCATGCTGAATGTGTTCTATCAAATAAGTGACAATCAGAACCTAAACCCATCCAAATTTGCTGATGCAGACAAACATAAAATGTCAGTGCCGTCTAGAAAAGTAAATAGACATTCAGTATATATGTGAAATAAATACCGTTTGCGAGCAAAGATGTCAGTGCTTTTGCAGCTGTAGAAACAAAGTAGTTGTCCAAACTGTGTCTTTGGACATGGCCGAGTTCAAGAGCCTTTTCTAATCTACTAGAAGAATATTTCCTGAGAGAAGTGAAATGCCAAGACACAATTGCAGGACAAGGGAGAAAAGTGTTTGGTGAAGGGGGTGTATGTGTATATCTGGGCACCCTCTTAAGAGGGGTGCTTCCCAGCCCCTGTAAGGCTGCTTACAGTCCTGTTGGTGGTTGTAGAGTATCTGAGTGCTCTGGGGCCTCTGGAGGAGTTCAGGAAAACCATACACTTTACCTAATGTGGACTTTTGTGTCTGTGAATTTTTCTTTTGGGTGAGGCATAAGAGAAGGTGTTTACATTAATCCTATACTAAAACATCATCAGTCAACTTGTTCATCAGGCATTTCTCTACCTTTATTGGCCTCTCAATAGAACTTAGTTTTTAGGGGCGCCTGGGTGGCTCAGACGGTTAGGCATCCGACTTCAGCTCAGGTGACAATCTCACGGTTTTGGGTTTGAGCCCTGCATCCGGCTCTGTGCTGACAGCTCAGAGCCTGGAGCCTGCTTCGGATTCTGTCTCCCTCTCTCTCTGCCCCTCCCCCACTCACGCTCTGTCTCCCTCCATCTCTCAAAAATGAATAAAAGTTAAAAAAAAGAAAAAAAAAAGAACTTAGTTTTTCACATAGTTAACGGAGTTCTTGTTTGGCACAGTTAACTTAGTTATTGGCACCTGGTTTCCCTCCGTAGTAGAGGCCGGCCATCAGACCTGGAATATGCAAGGGACTGTTTTCTTACTTTCATATCTGTGATGACACCAACGTGTCATCACAGCAGGTGCCTCACCTGCTTTTTAAGCAGACAATTTCTGTCAGCCAAACCTCTAAGGACTCCTCTTAGATATTATTCCTTTCTTTCTTATAAAAATGTGATCATTGCTCCATGGTCCCACCAAAGCAGAGCTCACTGAAGGCAGTGGAGACAAAAATAAAAGCTGAGGTGTATCCGTAGAGGTTCTGCCTGAGTATGATGACATAGCCTCCTGAAAAGATAATGCAAAGTAAATTCTAAACCTTAATTTAAAGTGTGATGGTGATAAGGATCTTTTGTCAAACATCCATACTGTACTGTCCGAATGTGTGCCCAACGGAATAGTGCTAGCAATGTTTGGTTTTGTGACTTTAATTATTAATAGCTATTTTAAGAACTGTAGTACAAATATTTACTCTGGTTTTGGCACAGCAGTTTTATTTAAATTGTACTCCTTTTTTGCACATTTTCTGATTTTTGTCAGGCAAAATTTAGAAGAATCAAAATTAAATGTTTTTCTTGATGCAGGTGGGGTTACTTAGACAGAAATTGGACAGTCTGGAAAAATGTAACTTAGCAATGACTCAGAATTACGAAGGACAACTACAAACCCTGAAAGCTCAAGTAAGGAAAACTATTGTAATTTAATATCATATAATAATTTAACACATTTTGATATATCTTTTAACATATAAAATTATATTAGTTACTTTTTTATAAGTTGTAATAATTTTATTTAAATGGACTATTTTTAATACAAGTATAATTCTTATATTTTAACTACAGGTTATATGTTTGACCCTGTCTTTCATTGTTTTATTAGATTGCCTTTTTTATTGGACTCTCAGCCCTTTATCCCTTTAACTGTTAGCATAGTGCAAGACTGATACCTTTCTATGATATGATAATAATTAGCTACGTGAACAAAAGAATAATTTTGCTATTATGAAATAGATAATTGAAAGGATAAAACTGGTCTTTATAACTTGCTAGTGGTGGAACTGTTGCATAAATGATAGGTCTTCTGCATTGGGATGCTAATTTCTTTCTTATTTATCCCTGTGTCACCTCACTGTGAAGGCAAGCAAAAAGTCTTCTCTCCCTTAGCACAGAAAACATAGGGCAGTAATCACCTGTCATCTCAGGTCTGGTAGATGCCATGTCTTGCTTTAAATGAATCAGTGGGAAATACTGTTTGATTAAGAAATTTTTGAAGTGCAAAGATTTCATAAGTGATAATATAATCAAATGAGCCTAAAGTAGTTAATTCTTTATTACATAGCTTCTTATGGAGGTCATCAGCCATTAAGACTGGAATATGAAACATGATGCCATTTAATAAGTACACTATAATCTTAGACTAGCTCCAAAGTCTAGACATTTTGCCTGCAATTTACATAGCGGCCACTAGATGGTAGCTTGAATTATGAAACTAAATGGTTTTTCCTTGCTAAGACTCTAAGCAATCAACCAACCTTCTTTTTTGTATAAAGATAAAGCTTTAAAATAGCAATATATATATTAAATCACTATAGTTCAATATAAATGGAGAGTCCACGATCTAAAATAAGTTTGAAAAAAATACAGTAATTGAGATACAAGTGAAGATATCTCTAAATTATATTTAGTTGGTTCAGTCACTGCTTACCAAATCTTTAATGTCTGAGTTTTTTCACATCTGTTATTAAAAAGTTTTGAGACTTGCTTACAGGTGCTGAGCAGTTATTTAACATATGACTCCTTCCTATTTGATGCTTTGCAGTTTTATTCTATGACTTGGCTGCTGGCTAACCAACAAATATCCCTATGGCGGTTTCACAAAAATTTGTTCTGTGGAATGCTAGTATGAGAGTTTAGGAAATGCTGTTTACTTCCTCTCTGCTCTTGGACATTCACAGTGCATATCCAACAAACCAATTTAGACTTTTTCACCCATCATTTTTCAAAACATATTTGACCATGGAATGCTTTTTATTTTTCAAGCTAAAACCTACTTTACTATAGTACAGTCTTACAGTGTAAACACCGAAAACAGGTGTCTCAGAGAATACATTTTGGAAACACTACATTGTTGTTGAGAGAGCAGCCATCTGCTCCACTGCAGTTTAATGCTTCTCTTTTCTTCTCGTGTTAGAAGAAAGTTAAGAAGAGCATTAGGGAAGAAGAGCAAAAGAGAAGGAAAGAGGGAAGGGAAAAAGAGAGAAAAAGGAAAGTACTATGTACTTAAATTGGTTTGCATAATGGCTAGTAATATGTCATTTTTTTAACCAGAAAACGGTATCTCATGGCAAACATGATGCGGTTGCTGCTAGCTCACTCTACTGATTTCTTCTTTGATATTCCTGGTTTATTTACAATTGCATTTTACTAAAATATTTTAAAGATATACTTTACCACACTGTTCCTTGAATAAGTCAACTCTGCCAAAACTTTCTCATAGAAATTGCTTCCTTTTTAAAAAGAGGTTATTTTCTTTTCCTTCTAACCATAATGAAACTATGATTAAATTGTGTATATATTTGAGATTTTCACTTCTGGAAAGCTGGAGTTGATTCTTTTAGACCCTGCTAAATAAAACTAGAAAGTCTGGACATTATTTATAAAATCACATAAGATTCTGAGAAGTGGAGAAAAGAGGCAGGCCAACTAGGACGTCGGTACCCAAAGAGCAACATAGTGGTGAGTTCCCTGGGATTTCTTTTTGCCCCTTGTATCCCAGTCTGGGTGACAGAGACGCTGACAACCCAAACACTACAAGGGGCACAAACAGATAAAAAGAATCCCAAGGAATATCTGCTCTCTACAGCAGACCTGGGAAAGGCAGCCTACCAAGATTACACACTTTTAGAAAATAACTGCTCTACTCCAGCCCAACACCACAGAAAAAGACTTCAGCTCCAAACCACCCCACTAGCACAGACTGAGTAGACAGCCTTGGATTCTACCCTCACCAGCCTTTAAGGAGGTATCCCCGGCTCCCCAGCCTGGGTGGTGTTAGAGAAGACTTGAGTGGAGAGCCAGGACTTTTGTCACCACTAGGTGTTAACAAGGCCCTCCCCAACCCATGGTGTTAGTGGAGGCCATGTGGAGAGTCTGGACTAGTATGCCCATTTGATGGTGATGAGGAACTCCCCCCTGGGGATATCAAGGAAAGCCTAATTAGGAGTCAGGATATTCACTGCCTCTCAGTGGTAATGAGGCTGCTCACCCTCACTACAGTTTCAGTGAAGGCCATGTGAGAAGCAGTAACAAGGCACCTGTGCCCCTCTAGTCAGGGTGGTACAGTGAAGACTAGTGGGGATCCTCAACTCCCACTCCCACTCAGCAGTGGTAAGGAATGCCTCCCTCAGGTTACCAGCTGAGGCCAAGATCTAGACTCCCACCACCCAAGGCAGTGACGAGGCAGTGTCCCACTTTCCCTGCCAGAATGCCATCAGAAAAGGATGGCTGAAATACAGTCCCTAAAGAAAATCTAGTGTCTCATAACACAATACCCAAAATGTCCAAGTTTCAATAAAAAAAAATCACTCATCACACCTAGAACCAAAAAGATCTCAACTTGAGTGAAAAAAGACAACCAAGAGAAGCCAACACTGAGTTAATACAGATGTTAGAATTATCTGACAAGGATTTTAAAGAAGCCGTTATAAAAGTTCATCAGAGGGCAATTACAAACATACTTGAAACAAATGAAAGTTTTAGCAAAGAAAAACTGTAAAGAATAACCAGTTAGAAATTTTGTCTCTGAAATATACAATAACCAAACTAAAAAATGTCAATGGATGGGCTCAAAAGTAGAATGGAGAGGATGGAGGAAATAGTCAGTGCACTTGAAGATAGCAAAATAGAAATTACTGGATCTGAAAAATAGAGAGAAAATAGACTAAAAAAAAAAAGAAACTTAGGGACATGTAGTACTATAACAAAAGATTGGAAATTTGTGCCATCAGAGTCCCAGAAGGAGAAGAGGGCAGGATTGAAAAAGTATTCAAAGAAGTAATGGCTGAAAACTTGGCAAAATATGTAAACCTACAGATTCAAGAATCTGGATGAAACTCAAACAGGATGAACACAAAGAAATCTACACCAAGACACATCATAGGCAAAGTTCTGAAAACTAAAAGACAAAGAAAAAAATCTTGGAAGCAGCAAGAGAGAAATAACACCTTACCTACAGGGACGAATCAAGTCAGATAAAAGACTTCTCATCAGAAACTATGGAGGCCAGAGGAAGGTGGAATATTTTTCAGTTGCTGAAGCAACATAAATGTCAACCCAGAATTTTCTATGTCCAGAGAAAATATCCTTAGGAATGAAAGGAAAATCAAGTCCTTCTTGAATGAAGGACAGCTATGAGAATTTGTCACAGTAAACGTACCTCCAAAGAATGGCGAAAGAAAGTTCATTTAGCAGTAAGGAAATGATGAGGAAAGCATCTTGAGATATTAGGAAAGAAGAAAAACCAATGGGAAGAATTAAGAAATGGGTAAACATACTACTTTTCTTCTCTTGAGTTTTCTAAATTGTTTGGCAGCTAACGCCAAAATTATAACAGTGTCTAATGTGGTTCTTAATGTATATTGAGGAAATACTTAAGAGAATAATGCTGTAAATGGGTCAGGTCAAAGGGACATAAAGAAAAGTAAGACTTCTGCATTTCATTTGGGCTGGTAAAATGTTGACGCCAGTAGACTGTAGTGAGTTATGTAAATATAATACCTAGAGCAACAACTGAGAAAACTATTCAACAGATGCATTCAAAAACACTATAGATAAACCAAAATGGAATTCTAAATAATTCTCAGATAACCCTGAAGAAGACAGAAAGGCTAAAATAGAGAAACCAAAAAACTGGAAATCAGAAGGAAAAAAACCACCAACAACAAAAAAGTAAGGCTTAAGCTCTGATAGATCATAATTACATTAAATGGAAATTGCCTAAATACATCAGTTAGAAGATGGAGATTGACAGAGTAAATTAAGAAAGTATAACCCAACTATATGTCCTGCTCCAGAAACTGACTTCAGATATACCTATGTAGGTCAGTTGAAAGTAAAATGGTAGAAAAAAATACCATGCAAATATTAATCAAAAGAAAGCAGAAACAGTGCCAAGATAATTCAGTGGAGAAAGAATAGTCTCTTCAACAAACAGTAAAGGGACAACTGAATACCCACATGTAAAAGAACTAAGTAAGACCTAGATATAGACAAAAATTAGCTCAAAATGGATCAAAGACCTAAATGTAAAAACTAAATCTATAAAACTCTTAGAAAAAAAAATAGGAGTAGATCTTCATGACTTTGGATTAGGCAATGGTTTCTTAGATTTGGCACCAAGAGTACAAGAAAAGTTAGATGAATTTGACTTCACCAAAATTAAAAAAAACCTTTGTCCTTCAAAGGATGCCTTCAAGAAAGTGAAAAGATGACTCACAAAGTGGAAGAAAATATTTACAAATCATATATCTGATAAGGGACTAGTATCCAGAACTAAAAAATAACTCATACTAGTCAATAATAAAAAGTAAATGACATGATTTTAAAATGGGCAAAGATATGTCTATTGATGAATAGACATCTTTCCAAAGAAGGTATACAAGTGCCAATAATCACATGAAAAAATGCTCAGTATCATGAGTCATTAAGGAAATGCAGATCAACTCATGAGATACCTATTTGCACTGATGAGAATAGCTATAATCAAAAAGAGGGACAATAACAAATGTCAGCAAGGATATGGAGAAATTAGAACCCCATACATTGCCAGTCGTAACGGAAAATGGCACAGTCACTTTGGAAAAACAGTTTGGCAGTGCCTTAAAAAATTAAACCCAGAGTTTCCATATGATCCAGCAGTTCTACTCCTGGTTGTATACCCAAGAGAAATAAATATATATATCCACACAAAAACTTGTACCCAAATGTTCACAGCAGCATTCTTTGTAATATACAAAAAGTAGAAAGAACCTAAATGTCCTTCAGTAGATGAATGGATAAGTGAAATGTGGCATATCCATGCAATGGAATACTATTCAGCCATAAAATAAATGAAGTATTGGTCCATGTTACAACCTTGATGAACCTTGAAAGCATTATGCTAAGGGAAAGAAGCCAGGCACAAAAGGCCACATAACGTGTGATTCCATTAATATGCAATGATCAGAATAGGCAAATATAAAGAAACAGAAAGTAGGTTAGCAGTTTCCAGGGCCTGGGGACAGGAGGAAATGTGTAATCATTCTAATATTATGGGGTTTCTTTTTGAGGTAATAAAAAATACCCTCACATTAGTAATATGATGGTTGTACAACTTTGTAAATATACTAAAAACCAATTAATTTTATATTTTAAAGGGTGAACTTTATGGTAGGTGCATGATATCTCAATTTAAAAAATTATGTGAGAAAGAAAAAGAAAGCAAATGTGACTATATTAATATCAGATAAAGTAGACACAATTGTTCCTAGCTTTATTTGTGACATCCCACAACTGGAAACATCCAAAATGTCTCAATATGTAAATGGTCCAGCAAATGCTAGTTCCATCCATAGCATGGAATAACACTGAGCAATAAAAAGGCATGAATTATTGATACACACGTGTATCTCCAAGGCATTATGCTGACTGAAAAAAGCCAATCTCAAAATGTCATATACTGTTTGATTCCATTTTATAACATTCTCAAATGACAAAATTCTAGAAATAGAAACAAATTAGTGCTTGCCAAAGGGTTAAGAGTGGGAAGACGAGCGTCACTAAAAAGGCAGGAAGGTCTTTGTGCTGATGGAATGGTTCTGTATCTCGATCAAAGTTGTGGTCACGCAAATCTACCCGTGTGATAAGATGGCTTAAAACTATACACATATATTGTACCAATGTCAGTTTCCTGGGTTTACTATTGTACCATAGTTCAACAAGATGTCGATATTGGAAGAACCCAGAACCTCTCTTCAAAATCTTTGCAACTTCCTGTGAATCTTTAATTGTTTCAAAATTTAAAGCAAAACCAAAAAACTCTTATAAACAGTTATATAGAAATTTCTTCACTTTATGGACCATGCTGCTTTTAATCTATTATTTGAAGGTATAACAAGAAACAGAAAAAATAGTACAGAGTCTAAGTTTTTCTTCCTTATTGGTACGAAAAAGATGATATCAATTTGATACTTAAATTTATATAAACTGTCATTGATAAGTAGTTTGTGCTGTTTGTATCTTTTAAATTAAGTATTCAATTTTCTTTAATAAAGTATACACTTGTTATCTTATACATGGGGTTACTGAAATTAAAATTGTCAACACAAGATGGCACTAAGTAAAAGAAAAAACTTGGTTTTTAAAATTTGTGAGCTTTGCTACACAAATTAAAACAGAACTAAATAAAACATTTATGAAGTGAATCATTTAACTGTGCAGTTCATCAGGTCCCAGATTTACATGAAAACTGAATTGTGTTCAGTTTCAATAATTAGTTTTAATAACTGGTTCTGTCTTCACTAATCAGAACATTCAAGCATTACCGCATTTTCTAATCATGACTTAAATTTTCAAAGACGTGCCCAAGAAAGAACTCCAGTGAAATCAAGTTAGAAGCACCAGTAATGGTAAAACGTGAGCATTTTCTATTATATACAGTTTTCCAAACTGACGAATAGCTTTGAGAAACTGAGACTACACCAGATGAAACAAAGTAAAGTTCGGAGAAAAGAATTACTGCACCCCAGAGAAGAAATACCCTTTGAACTGAGCAATCTGAACCAGAAATTAGAGGTGAGCTGTATGTATTTCCTTAGTTTCCTCACGCATCGGAAGGATTGATTGCTGTTGTTGTGGGCTGTTTGTCTCTGGTGTACACAATGGCATGTACGGCCGTGGTAACAAACACCATTACAAATCGGCTTCTCGTTGAATATATTTTCTTAGCGCACCTTCCCTCTAGGCACTTAGCGAATTAAAACATCACTTTGATTTATGCATCTTTTATACAGATCAGCATTTTTGGAGAGCCAAAAAAAAAAAAAAAAGAGTTCAAAGAAACTGCAGATGTTGAGTGAAATTGAAGGACATCCCTGGGGTCAGTTAAATGGAATAGCTAATAAATCTTTTAATGGCTATTTAACTATTAGGTACTTAAATCCCAATGAAGCCTCCTAACAGTTTTCAGAACAGTGCTCGAAGTTTCAGGGGTATTTTTCTTAAAAGAGGTGGCGCCACTCCAAAATAGCCCTCCGTCCCTAAAATGGCTTACTGTGTCATGAATGCACTTATTTTTATCCCCTTAACTTCCCAACTTTGGAAAAAAACAAACCAGCTATTTTTCTTCCCTAATGCTCTTGAGGGTTTCTGCTAGAGGTCATGTAACAGACAGGTTCTACCATAAATTCCTCTTCTCTAACCTTAGCCTAGTTCCCAGTGCTCCTCCATTATTGTGTGTTAATTGGCCTCAAGTTGACCCTTATCAAGTTAGCCCACTCTGTTTCTTCCTTTATTCTCAAGCCCTAAACCCCAGCACCACCACCCTGATCTCCAGCCAATGATCTCCCTTTCTTCCACTTCACTGGTAGATAATGGTTGGTACCCCCCAGTCACCCAGGTGAATACCCAAGAATCTTTGATCTGTTCCTTTCTTACTCCCCATATTTGAGCCCAGCTTTGCCCCTTTCCCTGGTCTAATGCTTCTTATCTCCTTCCTCTTTGTCTAATTATCATTGTCCTTTTCATTTGCATCATTTTATTCTGCAATTAACAATCCTTCTCAAACTTTCCCTTCAAAATGTCTTTAAAAGAAAAAAAAAATCTAAAATCACAGCCCTAAAACCAGCCTATTGCAACAACTTTGCTGGAAGGCTTGCGTTTTAGCTTTTAAATTACTGTAGATTTTACATTCTGCTGAATAATGTACCGGGTTTTTTTTTAAATACAAAATTACTACCATCATGATGTAAAATTGACTCTACAGGAAGTTGCGCCATGTGTAACCACCTGCTGACGGTGGTGTGACCAGACTGTCTTCAGAAAGATCCTGGTTTCATAAAAGATGCCCAAAGATGTGCCCTGTAATATATATGCTTTCCCTAAAAATGCAGAGATCAAGTCACTGGTTAGCCTTCTGGTTGACTTTTTATGGGATTTTATGGGAGAACCACATTCATATAAATTGTTCATACAAAAAAAAAAAAAAGGCCTGAAATTAATATGAAGTACTTTGTGTGAACACTTTTACATTTAGGGAACTAAATTTTTACATAAAATATATTTCATGAATTTATAGATGAAATTAGTAGCAAAATATGACCTGATATGTTTGTACTCTGTAGGTAGTTTAATCTGTGTAATTATGGAAACATTTCATGTACCTGTTTTTACTTGGAGTCGTATGAAAAATTAACATGTAAGAGATGGACTGTTCCAGTTTTAGTCTACATCCAAGCATGTTTTTCCTTTGGGACAAATATTATTCACTGGTCTAGTAAGAGAAAGAGCATGTTGTTGTGGAAGAATATGACAGTTTAAAACACTTCTTGACTTCTTGACTTCTTGACTGATTGATTCCCAAAGCCATATCCTTTGTGTTAAATTGTGAACATTCACGTTCCATGAATATAATACTTGAGCAAAAACTTGAAGAAATGAGCATGTTGTGTCAAGCTAGTTTCATGTCTTCCTCAGGTTAGCTCAGTTGGCACTGGCATTTATTTGCCCTGTGACCTTTAGGCAAGTTGTTAGCCTCACAGGGATTTCATTTTTTTCACCAATAAATAGGGTTAAAAATACCTTATAGGTGACATTATGGTTATGGGAGAAACACACACACACACACACACACACACACACACATATACATATATGTGTGTGTGTGTGTGTGTGTTTATGTGTGTGTGTGTGTGTGTGTGTATGTATATTTAAATGCACACTGAAGCATTTAGGGGTGAGAATACATGAGGTCTGGAAGTTGGCTTAAAATACTCAACAAAAAAGTGTGGAGAGAGAGAGGCAAAATAAAGATGGTCAGGTTGATGGTAGTCAAACTGGGTGAAGGGTGCATGGGAGTTTTTTTTTAATCTTTACTTTTATGCAAGTATGAAAATTTTCATACTAAAAAGCTAAAGTCATCTTACAAGTGAAGGTTTGTAGAGTCCCTGACATATAACAATCACTAAAGAAATGTTAGTTCCATCTTCCAGTATTTAGTAAAGGATTAAAAACACATATATAATAATGTAGCTTCCCCTAGAAACTCTAATTTTAATGACCTTGACTTACTCGCAACCTTGAAGACCCAGAAAAGTTTTTTCAGCATGGAGACCTTACTCTGGAGGTTTAGGCAAGTTCTACAGACCCTCTGGAACCTGGTAGGACACCTCCAATCTCTACAAAAATCCTCATAAAGCTCTCTAGGTCTCTCTGTGGTCCCATAACTACTGGATATATCGTGCCGGCTTGCAAGTCTTGAAACCAATACATCTAGAAGATCAAGAAAGCCAGGACTGTTATGAGCACATGCTGATATGTCTGTGACACATATTTCTAGCTTATTTGGCCTTATTCTTGAGCTCATTTCTACCTGTTGTAGAACTTGTAAAGAACTAAGATTAATGCTCCTGCCTCCTCTTAAAGCATGCTGGGAAATACTTATTTTCAAGATTGAGGTTGTTGGGTGGGTAATGCTGAATATTAGCATATCTGAAAGGTAAGAACAGTGTAAGTCAACCTTGCCCACATTTTGACAAAGTCACTAAATCAGTCTAAGCCCCACCCCATAAAAACAAACAACCAACCAAAACCGAGGATACAGGTTTGGTGACAAGAATTAGAAGCTATGTCTAGTAATAAATCCAAGATGAGTGATTTAATACTTTTTTGTTTCTTTGTTTTCCTAATGGGGAAAAAGAATGGGTATAGTTTTTTAGAATGAAAATGTACAAATGAAAGAAGCCTTGCTCATTGTGCTTTTAAGTGAATAATTCTCCTCAATTTATGTTTGTACCTCCACTTTTTTAAAAGGAATTTAGAGCAAAGTCAAGAGAATGGGACAAGCAAGAGATACTGTATCAGACTCATCTGGTTTCTTTAGATGCTCAACAAAAATTATTATCTGAGAAGTGTAATCAATTTCAGGTACATTATCTAATACTATCCTCTAACTTAGAAAAAAATTAGAGGTTAACTATTGCTATCTTCATAATCTTACTACAGAGAGAAATGCCAACCACAGGAAAATAACCAGAACAGGTCTAATACTGGGTAAAGTCAAAAGTGCATGAACATTTTTAATGGTGAATTTAGTCCACGTGTCTCAAAGGATGGTACTTTTTAAAGTGTCCATTGTCATCATGTCATTAAATAACATATGTTTTTGCATGTCTATGGGCAAGTCGCTTAGAAAGTCTGAGATTGCTTGGTCTCTGACCTCAAGAATCTTACAGCTTAGAGGTAGAACACACATACATATTTACAGATAATTCATAGCAAGTGAATGGGAAACCCTTTTAGAGTTCAGAGGAGAAAGGGGGATATTGGGGCTGAGATAGTGAGCAAATATCCTACAGCAGGGGTTAGACTGGGGCTGGACCTTGAAGAAGATGTACAGTATTTTGAGAATATGTTTGGGGTGGTGGAAATAACAGCAAAATCACCGAAGCAAGACAGCAAAAGGCAAATTCTGGGTATAGAAAATGAGCCAACTGGTTGGGAGTCTGTATGGAAGGTGGGGAAGGTAGGAGATGGTAAGGCTGGTGAGTTGGATGCAGGTTATAATAAGCCTTAAAGTCTCATCTAAGGAATTTGGAATTTTTTATCAAAGCCAGTGAGAAACTATGGTTTTTGTTTGATTTGGGTTTTGTTTCTTATTTTTCATTCTTTAAGTTACTTGAATTATATGTTTATTATGTTCTCTGAGTTTAACAATACAAAATAATGTAAAATTAATAGCTTCATCTTCTACCCCGTTCTTATCCGTTTAATACAAACACTTAATAGGTGTTTTTCTTTCCATACTTTTTCTTTTGTTTGTACACACACGTAAAATGTGGATTTGGGAGAAATTATATATTTTTCCTTTTTAAAATTTTGTGGTTTTACCTAATAATAATTATCTGTCCGTATGGATACTCTCTCAAGTCATTACTTAGTTCTGCATAATATTTGATAGTATATGGTTTACATTACCATATATATATCATAGTATATAGTAGATATACCATAATTCTTTCAATCATCTCCTTACTGATGAACATTCAGGTTGTTTCTAGTTTTTTGCTATTATAATATTATAACAAATATCCTCTGATAGACGTCTTTAAATGCTAGTACTTTTCTTTTGTTAGATTAAAAATCCTAGAAATTATTCTTGAGCCACAGAGTATTATGTTCATTCAGATTTTTTTTTTTTAATTTTTTTTTTCAACGTTTATTTATTTTTGGGACAGAGAGAGACAGAGCATGAACGGGCAAGGGGCAGAGAGAGAGGGAGACACAGAATCAGAAACAGGCTCCAGGCTCTGAGCCATCAGCCCAGAGCCCGATGCGGGGCTCGAACTCACGGACCGCGAGATCGCGACCTGGCTGAAGTCGGACGCTTAACCGACTGCGCCACCCAGGCGCCCCCATTCAGATTTTTAAATGAATACTAGCATATTACCTCCCAAAAGATTATAGTAATGTACAATTCATGAGCAGTCTATGGGAGTGCCCATACTTTCACCAACATGGAATGTTATCAGTCTTTTTATTTTTTCCCAACTCGGACTGATAGTAGCATTGGCTTGATTTGTTTTGCATTTCTCTGACTACTTACAAGGTTGATCACCTCTTCATATCCTTCTGAGCCTTTTTCATTTCCTTTTCTGCATATTGCCTATTTACAAACTTTGCCAGTTTTCCTTTTGTGTTATTTCTCTTTTTCATATCGATGTATAGAAGTTTCTGTACCTTAAGAGTTATTAACGCTTGTTACTTGTGTTGACTGCTTTTTCCTACAATCCAACTGCTTTTGTTTAATTGTTTATTTTATTTTTCATCATATAGATACTTTCAACTACTGTGTAATGACATCCACAATTTTCCTCTTGTAAATATTCTTTCTTGCGTAATAAGACTTCCCTACCCCAGGCTTCCTACCCTACTCTGCATCTTGACTCTGAGGTTATACAAATGTATTTTCTTTTTATGTCATCCAAAACTGAAGTTTTAGAAAAAACCCAAGACTGAATTACAAAGAGTGAAACTTCATTATAAACATATTTAAAGATTTTTCCTAAATATTTTCTATCATTCTTGAATTTTATTCATGTAAGCTTAAATATGATATTCTCCATTTAATCGACACAGTCTTCGCTTTCTCAGAAACAGGCACAAAGTTACCAAACTCAACTAAATGGTAAAAAACAGTGCATAGAAGACGGCAGCTCAGAAGTTCCTCAGTTGATGTGCGAACCGGATCACAGTTGTGAAGCCAGTGAAAGAGATGAGTTCATTATTGAAAAACTAAAATCAGCTGTGAGTGAAATAGCATTAAGCAGGAATAAGTTACAGGATGAAAATCAGAAGCTTTTGCAAGAACTGAAAATGTACCAAAGACAGTGCCAGGTGATTATTTATTTCTCAATTGATCTTGCCCATGAGTTGTATAAATGATGAGTCAACAGGTGTATGGATTACATAATTTTCTATTACATGTGTAACTTCAATTCATATTTCCTCTTACTAAGTAATTCTCACTTGATGAGTAAATTCAGTAATCCCTTAAATACCCTACCCCACCAGAATGAACTTTGGTTCTGCCGCAGTATAATAATCATTACCAGTACAGTTTAACAGAGCTCACTTACAGATCTCTATGCCTAACACTCATGGCCCTTTAGCCTCACGCCACCCTGTGTCCCCACTACTCTCTCTGACCCTGTGCCCCTTTGACTTGCAGGAATCCTGGGTTGGAGACCCAGGAAATTAGTAAGGTTTCAACAATCTAATTACTCCAGGGAGGCCCTCCGTGTGATCTATCACTGTTCACTTTACCATAATCATTTACCAAAGAGTAGCCTGGAGTTTTGTTTTGTTTTGTTTTGTTTTGTTTCGTTTTGTTTTGTTTTTCAGGTAACCTCCACATTGGCAGATGGGATTGCTGATTTTTCCAAGAATTAATTTTCTTCTTAACCCAACAATCTTGTCTTTCTTTTTCTTTCTTTCTTTCTTTCTTTCTCTTTCTTTCTTTCTCTTTCTTTCTTTCTTTCTTTCTTTCTTTCTTTCTTTCTTTCTTTCCTTCTTTCCTTCCTTCTTTCCTTCTTTCTTTCTTTCTTTCATTCTTTCTCTCTTTTGCTCTTCTGCATCACTAAGGTTATCCAGCATTCATAAATTGGTCATTACCAATTTCTTTACTAAATGTATATTTCTTATTCATGGATATCCCAGTTACTTGACACATTCTATGGTTTTATCTACCACCTACAAGCATTCAGCCTTTTCTACCAATTCTCCCAAGTCAGCTGGCCCATTGTAGTCCCACTTTGTTCCTTTCTCATGCTAAGATATACTTTGGAGGTCACTGTCTGGGCAGACTTCCACTTCTGATCTTCTGCCACTTAAACTCCCAGGGGTTATTTTTTTAGTCTTGGGGAAACTCCTCATTCCCCCATCCTGCCACATTGTACATGGGATTAATTCTTTTATTTTAATATGATATTTATTTATTTACCAACTGCTATGAGAGAATTTGCCAAAATTATTTTTACAGATTTTGGTTCACAAAAAAAAAAAAAAAAAAAAAAAAAAAAAAAAAAAAAGATTTAATTATCCTTGGATCTAGGATCATTATTAAATTTAAACTAATAATCTCCATTTTATATTTTATACAAGAACCACATTTATTAAAAAAAAAAACTACTTGGCAATCAAAAATAATGAAATCTTGCCATTTGCAACTACGTGGATGGAACTAGAGGGTATTACATTAAGCGAAATTAGTCAGAGAAAGACAAATATATGACTTCACTCATATGAGGACTTTTAAGACACAGAACAGATGAACATAAGGGAAGGGAAGCAAAAATAACATAAAAACAGGGAGGGGGACAAAACATGAGACTTAAATATGGAGAACAAACAGAGGGTTACTGGAGGGGTTGTAGGAGAGGGGATGGGCTTAATGGGTAAGAGGCTTTAAGGAATCTACTCCTGAAATTATTGTCGCGCTATTTGCTAACTAATTTGGATGTAAATTAAAAAAATAAAAATAAAAAATATATTTGGGGAAAAAATAAAATTTAAATAAATAAATAATGAAATGAGAACAAACAAGAATGTATTAAAATGTATCAAATTGTATTTAAGTAATCAAATTGTTTTGTAATATGTAATATGTCTTGTATATGCGTACATAAAACATAAAAAACATAAACATAAAAAAACCCATAAAACATAAAAAAAAACACTAACCGAATTATCCTGGAATATTTTTTACACAAAAAATATGTTACAGCTTTAATGAAAAGATCTTTGAGAAGTAGTTTGTTTCAAAAACTTCAAGATAGCTAACATAAGATTTCTACTCCCAAAAAAACACTACTTATTTTTGATGCATTTGGGGAAAAAATGCTGAAAATAATGCTTTTATTTCCCTGTTTTATTTCCAAATTTGACCTGTGTTTCATTCTCTTTAAAGCAACACTAAATAAGAGGAGATCAATTAATTACTATTTGGTAGCTGATTTGAAGGTTTAAAAATCACTGCTTCTCTCAGACCATTCGGCAAAGTTCTAACTAAACAGATGGGCCTTAAACTTGTTTTGCAAAATTTATATTTTACCAAATGGGAATAATTGGAGGTAACTAATCACTTAACCAGTGCATATATTTAGAATGAAGTTTCCCTTCTCTTTTTGCAAAACTGTCATATGACAATGCTCCACATCTTGCACATGAATTTAAAAAGGCAACCATTTCAATTTGAATTATTGTCACTTATTGTATATAAAATTCTGTTTAGTTTACAGCATATTTTAATGCCAGATGCATCTGAATTTTTTTCTCACTTGTCTTTCCACAACTTTGAAATGTGTCAGTATACATACTAATTCCGTTGCATAGAATTATTTACTAGGCTGTACTACACTCACATTTTAAAAATATGCAACATTTCCTATTGGAGGTTAATGACAAAAAGAAATTGTCCTGCATTTTTCTAATATCTGTGCCAAAAAAATTGACCTTTTTTTATTTGTCAATGTGTCATTATGGGACTAGAGCAGCAATGTCCAGTGGAAATAGAATGCAAGCCACAAATAGAATTTAAGTTTTTCTAGTAACCACATTAAAAGAAGTCATAAGAAATGGGTGAAATTAAAACATAATAATAATTCATTTATATTCATTCAACATATATTCAAAGCATTATCATTGCAACATATAATCAGTGTAAAATTATTGAGCTAATGAGATATTTTACATTTCTTTTCATACTAAGTCTTCAAAATCCGGTGTGTATTTTGCACTTACAACATATCTCAATTTGGAAGCCAAGTAGTCACTGGAAATACTTGATCTGTGTTTAGATTTCATAAAATTTACAATTAAAAAAGTAGATTTACAGGGGCACCTGGCTGCCTCAGTCGGTAGAGCATGTGACTCTTGATCTTGAGGTCATTAGCTTGAGCCTCACGTGGAGGATTGAGTTTACTTTTTAAAAAAGCAGATTTACATACCTCAGCTGTTCCAAACAAACTTGAGAGTGTTCTAGTAACTGAATCAAGTACCAAAGAATCATTTTCCTAATTATTTGCATCCACATTGACAAATAAATAATTTGACTTTTATGCAAAAGCATGCCAACCACATCTAAGTTAAATAAATTCACTAATTTTGTGTCAACTTGGTATTATTAATGTTGAATTCAAAGGGATATTGCATAAATCAAAGAACAACTCTCAATTTACCAATATCAACAAAACCTCTTTTCTTGTACTTTCCTAGTCAATTTACATAATGCTGTCAATTATAATTAAAATCTTTTGCATACTCATTCATGTTAGAAAAATGTGTCAAATCATTATTATTGATTTGTATTATGAAGAGTTTCAATTTTGACATAAATTCTCTCACCTGTGTAGCGAGATCACAAAGCTTTTTTTTTTCCTTAGGGATAGGGAGCCCTTTCCCTAGGGGGGTTAGGGAGTATCTTCAAATATCACTCTTCTAGGTATTATTTTCTAATTAGAGTAAACATTTTACAGACTTTTAGCTAACTCCAGCTCATGGTGACTTTGCATTTCATTGGCCTGGAGTTACACCCCTTTTATGCTCCCCTGCCCCAAGTGAAGGAAGACCGAGCTGTCTACCCACAGCTCCAAGTTAGATTGCTCCGGAGGCAAATTTGCAAGACAGGGAGCACAGATGGTGCCTGCTTCAATTGGGCAAAGTCATGGATGACATTCACATCAAGTTAATTTGTTTTTCTACTTGCTAATCTATTGTTTCACATTTCTTTTGTTTGTTCCTTTTTGAAATTTTAGCCTCATCTGAAAAATCCACACTGTTTGAAACAGTGACTTTATGCAAACAAGTTTATTAAAGCATCCATTTGAATACATTTTTACTCTTATGTCCAGGTCAGCCAGGAACTTCTGGGGCCAAAGTATTGCAATTAGGTCCTTCACTGAACCCGGGTCTCGAGGTCTCCCAGAAAATAATACAAATTTAAGGCTTAGGTTAAAAAAAAAAAGTTTAGCTGGGAACTCATATATCCTATGCTGTCTGCGTAATGATATTTCTAGGCTCTGTGAATTTGGGGGTAAGAATGAATAAGAAAACATATGTCCACACAAAAGCTTGTAATGAAATTTTATAGCATATTATTCATAACAGCCAAAAAGAAGAAATATCAAATGTCTATCAACTGGTGAATTAATAAACAAAATGCAGTATATTCGTGCAATTAAATATTATTTATCAACAAAAAGGAATGAAATACTGATACATGCCATAACATGGATAAACCATAAAAGCATTATGCTGAGTGAGAGAAGCCAGTCACAAAGGCCATGTATTGTATGACCCCATTTGTGTGAAATGTCCAGAAAAGGTAATTCCATAGAGACAGAACATACCATAGCGGTTGCCAGGGGTGATGGGGAGCAAAAATAGAAAGTGACTACTAAAGGGTATTGGGTTTATTTTGGTTGTGATGAAAATGTTCTGGAATTAGCGGTGATGCTTACCCAGCTTTGTGAATATACTAAAACCCACTGAATTGTACATTTTAAATGGGTGAATTTTATGGGATGTGGATTATATTCAAATAAATCTATTAATGATACATACAAAAAATTATTAATAAATGATTTTTTTAAAATATCTGTAGTGTTCTCTGCAGCCTTTATTAGCAGAGGAACCTCCTGCCCTCATAACACCCAACCCTGTCTTTACCAGCAAGCTGCAGGTCTATGTCACTTATTTTGCTTGAAACGAATTATTTTTGCATCTTGAATGTTCCAACTGGACTAGTAGACAAAAGACCTGGATTTTTCTTTTCCAAAATCTGCCGCTTGTAAGCTATGTAACTTTGGACCAAGTATGGCCCTCAATTTCCTCATCTACTAAAGTGGCGATGGACTTGATGACCTAGGTCAGGTACACTTAATAAATAATAGTTTCTCTGTAGAAGCAAGTAAAAGAAATCCAGTGATATGGAAGCACTCTGCCATTCCTCGCCCCCAGAGAACAGCCAAGCACTGCTGGAGAAAATCACTCTCAACAGGCCAGGGTCACAGATCTCAAATGAACACGCAACATGGCCAGGAATCCCACTCTGTGGCTCCACCCAGCTAATTCTCCCATTCCCATTGCAGGCCATTTCAAACCTTCTCCACTCTTAAAAATCACTCCCATGCCCCCACCTCCCCTTCTCCTTCCAGTGACATTGCCTTTTTTACCTCCCAAGGGAAATAGAAGCCAACAGAGAGCCACTGTCTTCTCTCTCCATATCCAGATGCATATGCTGGTCTGCATTCCATTTTCCTGCTCTTCCCCTGGTGCTTTGGGACCTACCCTACCTACTTCTCAAGAACCCACACCATTACTGTTAATCCTCCTCTCTTCTGATTGGACCCTTCCCAACAGGTTTTAAATTTGCTCAAGCCTCTTGTCAACAAAATAAGACAGTGGGCTCACAGGATTGCTGGTGTCTCTAGTTGCCAGATAAAGTAGGACTACTACTGGGCAATAGGGGAACCATAGACCATGGTTTACAACTCACTCTGTTGGTTATTGTCTTGTTTAAGTTGGTAATTATTTGCCTTAATCCGAACTTTACACATTAATCGTTATTCCTACTTTTATGCTTCTCTCAAATTTACATACAATGTGACCATATTTGTGTGATTATTTGATTATTCTTTGTCTTTTCTTTATCACTAGACTGTGAGCTCACTGAGAACAGTCTTGGTATCCTCAGTGTTGAGCACATGATAAGGGCACAGCAAATATTTGTTGAATAAATGAATGAAGGAATGAAATTCTGTAAGACAGAGCCAGCAAATGACTAAAAAAGGACTAAATACCAGTTTATTTGAAATTAAGCTGGTTCATAGATGTTAAATATTTTTGGGTATACTATACATCATGGTATCCAGATATGAACATTGAACATTTTTTTGGATGTTTTTATTTAGGCCATGGAAGCAGGACTCTCGGAAGTGAAAAGTGAGTTACAGTCACGTGATGATCTCTTGAGAATTATAGAAATGGAACGATTACAGCTGCACAGGGAATTATTAAAAATAGGAGAGTGCCAAAGTGCTCATGAAAATAAGAAAAGGTATATTCTTTATATTCAGAAGCCTGAGAGAAACTGTTTAAGACATGATGTTTGAAGATTTTAAGAGCTTTAGATTTAAAACTAGAATGAAAAGTCTCTTTGTTTTGTATTTACATGCTGTTATTTGTTGGATAATATTAGATATTAAAAATAAAATCAGTGATTATTTCACCCTCAAAATTAATGTATTTACTTTCCTAGAAAAATGTATTGTATTCTGGTGTCTGGATACTTCTGTATCGCAGAACATCAGAAATTTTCTCAGAACTTGTATTTTTCAGGAGACTGTAAAAGCAGTAGTATAGAGCTGATATTTGTATATATTGCTAAATAAGAGTTATTCCATATTTTCAGATGTTTCTATCTTGATTGCCTATAAACCTGTTATTAACTTTTTCACTTGTAAATGCTGTATTTATTTTGGTCTCCATACGCACTCTCCCTTGTCAGTTGCATTAAGAGTTTGTTAGAACAGATTTTTTTTCCTCTTTTAAAATCAGGCAGATATTGTGTATTCCATAAGCACAAAGGAAATGGGATTGCTAAGGATTATTAAATATTTACACTTGTGAGTAGAAAGTTTGACTGTTCTATTCGTTGATGTTCTCATTCTCCTTGGAACTTGAATCCTTCTCAAATCTGAAGGCTCATGCAAGACCAGTGATAGGACTTTAAAAATTGACTAACCAAATGGTAAGGGATATTTTCTTGAAAGATGATAACATTGTTTCAAAGGCAGTAATTATTTCGTTAAAGTTGTGGGACCTGCTCAAATTTTTTTTGAGCCCTATGCTATGGCAAATGGCAAATGGCAAATTAAGGTTCCTAAAAATGACCTATTATGTGTCTCACCAAAGATGGTAGGATGCCTATTCACCAGTCAACATTATAGCATGTTCCACATGCAAGTTATATATTATTATCACCGGTCATTAGGAAATCTATTGGAAAAATATAATATGCAAGGCACTGTTCCAGTGTGGTGAGTTGGTGAGAAATGTCTTTGCACAAAGAATGCATATGCCTAAAAACATAAGAGGTGTCCTAGAAAAGCAAACCTTGCACCCCCTGCCTAGCTCTGGTTTTATGTAAGAGCATGGTAGGTCCTTTCTGTGGGGCTGTCTCACAAGGCCAATGCTGAATTGCAGACATTGCCAACTTTCCTTCAATATAGGATTTAATCTAAGATCTTGCACTTATTTGCATATTTGGCCAATACAAATCTTTTGTCATGCCTAATGCCATTCTCTATTGAAGTTGGTATTTATTTTGATCTTTCATCTTTCTCATTTGGAGGGTATTCCTCAGTTCTAGTATTCTGAGATTTGATGAAAAGATAGATATTTAACTTTTCACAGCTTCCCTTGTATCTTAGACTTTGGGCTGTCTTCTTAGCCTTCCTCTTTCCCATTGAAAATTTCTAATCCTTTGGTTTGTTCTCATATGAATGTGATTCCATCCTCTTTATTGTTTTGGTTTCTTTTATTTGGACTCTGTTTCTTCTTTACAGTTGTATTAAGGTGAAGCAGCCCAGACTTCTGAGTGCAGATGCACAATAGTTTTATAGAAGTAGCATAGGAATGCTTTTATTCATTTTCAGATCCTTTCTCAATAATGCCAAGATTTTGTTAGCTTTTTCTTTTTTTGAGCTACAGAAGCACCTTGGGCTGATATGTTCTGAGAGTTATTAAAAATAATTCCAACGTTCCTTTTCTACACGACAACTGATAATTCCTTTATCTATTTATATTAGCATTTTATATTAGCATGATTACTGTTTTCTTCTTTGAATTTGTCCACGTTGAAGTTTGATGTTTGTTCCGATCACTCAGTGAAATTTACACAACTATAATGAGGTGTTTCCCCCCGCCCCCCCCATTCAGATCATCATTCCACTCCCTGAAATTGCTTAGGAAGAATTGAAAAATAGGAAATTTCATTTTTCACCCCTTTCAAATAAGAGCAAATGAGAAGAATTTAAGACTGATTCTGGAATAATGTTTAAAGAGAATATTGGATAGAATGCTCACAATAGATGACTGAGTAGGAAACAGAAGGGACTGAAAAATGTGTGCAGTACATTCTAATTGTACGGAAATAGTATCTATATGCCTATGCAGATATGCAGATGTATATATTTATATATTTATAGGTATATTTATAGATATGTATATATTTATACACACATGCCTAGAAAAAAAGACCGTCAGTATACACAAAAACACCAACAATGCTTTTTCCCTAATGATAACGTAATAGCAGTATATACTCTGATATACTCTGTTTTCTACAGTTAACATATGTATTTGATTATCAGAGGAAAAGCAATCCAGTCTAGATACAAGTACCTCAGGGATATCACTATTAATTTATACCTTTTAAAGATACCTTTATTTTCAATATTTACATTCATTATTTCTCTGTCATTCCTCAGATTTTGTTTTGTTTGTGTGGCTTAAGTTTTTGATTGATGAAACCTTTTAAGAAGTTCTTTGGAAATCTGAAATTGTACTCACTCACATGTGGGTACATTCCTCAGAACACCAGACTTTCCCAGATTAGTCAAGCCATTGAAAGCATGCCACTTTCCGTGCCTGGCTAGTGCAAGTGATTTTTAGTGATTTTTCACTTACGAGCTTCCGAGATGTAGAAGGGAACCTGTTTCTACTTCTCCAGACTTCCTGTGGAAATTGTATTTTCTGTACCAGTTTCTGCTTCTCCTCTCTGGTAGCCACATGTGCTAGCAATTCCATTTTATAAATGAAGCAGCCAAAGAAGAGATGTATTTGAACTTTCTCTGGGCAGGCTGTCAGATTTAGTCACATTGGATCCCTTTTATGGAGTCCCTGCTCCCTTCGGACTCCCCCCGACATAGTTCCTTTCCACAATGTAGAAGCAAGTTAGATGTGTTTCCTTTTCTTAAGGGGTTCCAAAGCCATTTTATTACAGAAAACACTCTTCTTATATAAAAATCTTATCTACATATGCAAAGCCAGTATTCTGCCCATTTTCAACGTATAATTGAAATTCCATATTAATTGCTACCTTTTATTTTTTGTCACTAAAACCATTTGCACTCAGTTAAATATGTGAATACTTATGGGATCTGAATGTATTAGCATTTGCAATTTCTGCAGCTTGAAAATTTTCCAATAAACTAATAATCTCTTTCTGCAACCTACAATCGTCTAAATTAACAATATAATCACCACAGTTTACTCAGCGAAGTTTAATTTTTATTCACTTTAATCTGTAGACATGAATCATCTTACTCACCTTCGACTAAAGAACCAGAAAGGAAAAGGAAAGAGTTGTTTTCAGTGATCCTAGATCAGCCAAATCATGAAAAAGAGTTGAACAAGGTATGGAAACATTCTGAAGCCTCTGAATGCAGAGGGGGGAAACACTTCCTTCTCATTCCCTTCTTTTTTCCTTCTATAGTTCCCCCAAAGATAATAACCTACCAGCCTAATTCTGACATTCTTCTGTGCGACGCTGTGAAAAATGCAAACCTTCAGTCACCGTCGTGCCTAAAACGTGAAGGGCCTTGTGGCCCCGTGACAGGTAGCTTATGGCGAGAAGAATGAGAGCACAGACTCAGGCATGCAACCATATATATTAGGTGCATGAGCTTGGGGAAGTTGCCTGTGCAAGCTGCTCAGGGTCCGCATTTCTAGCTTGGGGATGGGATAATTAGCACCTCCCTCATAAAATCGCGATAAGGATTAACTGAGCTAATAAGAGCCTCTACTTGGCACTGACCTGTGCCAGGAGCTGTTCTGAGGGCTTAACAAATCTCAATTCATGTATTCCTCACAACCATTTTATAAGGTAGGTGCTAATATTATCTTACTTTCTCATTTGAGGACCCTAAGGCATAGAGAAGTTAGGTGATTTCCCCCGATGTTACACAGCTGTTAGGCAGCAGAGGTCAGATTGGAACTCAGGCAGTCTGACTCCAGAGTCCACGCTCTTCCCTTAAGTTAAAATCCGTTTAAAACTCGCAAGTAAAGTGCTTAGAACAGGGCTCGCCTAGCTCAGAGGGAGCGTCTAGTAAGCGAAGGCTGCTCTTGGTATTGGTTACACCCGCCCTTTGTCACCGAGCACCTAACATGTGCCAAGTAGACTGCCAGGTGCTGGGAATACAAGGGTGAATGAGGCCCGGGCGCTGTCCTTGAACACCTTGTGGTTCCCAGCTGCCTACAGAAAGCATATTCTCTTCTCTCCCTAGCAAAATCCAATGGTGGCTTCCTTTCCATGAAGCTTATCATGGCTGCTACCCACGTCTCTGGTCTTTAGGTTTGAGGATCACACCTAAATATTCAGTATTATGTGATCTAAACAATTGGAAAAACCTGAGCGTGGCTTTGAATTATCATCTATCCCAGCACACAAAAGTGAAAATAAGTATTTGGAGAATGAATGAAGGTGAAGGTCTCCCATAATTGTGTAGGTTCATGAATTCAGTGGCTGTTTGTATAAAGTCAACAATCATTTATTGAGCATCTAGCAGGACTCTCGCTATTCTGCTCATTTCTGTAGGAACTACAATGATGTGAAAGGCAAATCCTGTCTCCCAAAGAGTTGACCGTCAGGTAGCTATTAAGTGTAGAAAAGGTGTTATGAATTAACGGTCATTTTCCTTATATTTTTCACATACTCCCATGAAACTGATTTCACTGCTATTTAAAAGTATAACTTTGAAAAAGTGTTCTTTACTCGTGTCCCCAGTGAATGCATTATGATACAAAGGTTGATTAAAGCCACCTAAAGTATAGTTACACCATTCTGAACCTCCCACACTCAATAAAACCCTGAGTAATAAGGAATCTACTGACATTGCACAGTTTTGACATGGAAGGAGAGAATGCTAGGCACAAATTCTCTTCATGGGCTCTTGGAGACCTCTAGATAATGCACTGCTGTGCAGAAAAGGTAACAAATGAATTGGGTATAAATAGCTGTAGCTCCCAGGAAGTGTTTGTGGAGAGCATTTTCATTCTCTTGTAATAAAAGCAACAAGAGCCATGTATTATGAATCCTGCAAGTGTCTTATTTCTTTCTCTGTTTTCCAGTGTAGAACTATTTTTGTTTTGTGATAAAATTGACATTTTTAATAAAGCCAAAAGTCATTTAGAGCTCGGTAAATTAATCTCATTTAGCAGGAAGCTTTGCAGTATAGCATGTTGTTTTAGTATCTAAACGCTGTGAAAATAATAAAAATAGTTTATTCCTTTCTCATAATGGGATATTCATGTTTGCACATTTTAAAAGTTCCATTTTAAGAGAACATGTTAACTACACAACAGGGATGTAATCAGCAAAATCCAAACAGGGACAAACCCCAGAACAGCCCTGTTGTTTCATCAAATAAATTGTAAGGAAAAAAAAAAAAAAACAGAGAGAGAAGATTGGAGACAAAATGAGACCTGTAACATTGTCCTCAGGGTGAGGACATTTGTACCCTCTGTCTCCGGGTCCCTTCTTTTGCTCTTCGGAGTTGGGTGACTCAAGCCCAGTTAGTTCCCTTCCTGGTGAGTCCTTTTTGTTTTTCCCCCTCATCTATTCAATGATGGAGTTGGACCATGTGATTCCTAAGGTCATGTCAAACTCTGAAATTCTAAAAATGTTAGTACTGAGAACAAAATCACAGGGGGGTTGGTGGTATAAAGCTAAAGACAAGCCAAGTTTGCCTTCTGGACACGTGTCCTTTCCATGTTAGGTCATCCCATGCTAGCTTTTTCCAATGTGTGAACCACCTTCTAGGGCCCTGTGCCCATGGGTTACATGGCACAATGGGTAGTAAGGTCCTAGAATCAGACTGCCTGTCACCAGGAATGTGACTGTGAAAAGTTACATACTTAACTCCTTCATTCTGCAAAACAGAGAACTCTTGCATGGCTTAGATGATGTATACAGACTACTTAGAACACACACAAAAAGAAAGATATGATCCAGTCCACATATTTAGATCACAATTCAAATAAACAAACAGAAAAACATACATTGAGCTTCTGACACATTTGTAAATTTGAATACTGCCTGGATATTTGATGATATGGAGGAGTTATTAATATTTTTAAGATATTACATTGGTATTCTGGCTATTTTTTAAAAAGAGAAAGAGATATATTCTTTTACAGATATATCCTGAAATGTCTAAAGATGAAATGAAACTAAAATCAATTTTAGAAGTAAGTGCCCTGGAGAAATTCATATAAATCTCTTTGTGGATGGACTCCACCAACCTCTCCAGCCTCATGTGTCACAACACGCCAAGTCCCGGCCATTCCAGACTCCTCTTGCTTCACTGTGTCTGCATTCTCTCTCACCCCTACTCTTCACTCTTTGCCTGGGAGCCCTTCTCCACCCCTGCCTTCCGTCTGGCTTCTATTCATCCTTCAGTATTTGTCTGACGTCCCATCCTCCGAGAAGCCCATCCTGACATCCCCAGGTTGGGTTAAGCATCCCTCCACTACATACCCCTGACGTTGATTGTTTATTTTCGTCTCCCCCAATGGACCACGATCTTCTTGAGACTGGCGATTGGGTACTTTATCTCCAGATCTCAAGAATTAGACACAGTTAATGATTTCTAGAAAGGTGGTAAGAGGCTGGACTAAGACAGTGATAGTAGAAATGCAGAGCAGAGGAGAGATTTAGAAGTGCAAGGGACAGAATTTGCTGCCTGACTGTATTTGGTGGGACAGGGTGGGGAGGAGCCCAAGGTGAACCAGAGGTTGCTGACAGGGAAGGCCTAACTATGGTTAAGAATAAGAGACTCCACAGGCTTAAGGGCAGGAGGTGATGCATTTTCATGGATACACGAAGTTTGAAATTTATTATAACATGATTCTGAAAAACATAGCATTCAGTCACAAACAGTACCCACAATGTAGTTAAAAAAAAAAAAAAAAAAAAAA